CAGAACAGGCCAATTGACTGAAGCACACTGCCGAGAGAGGCAGTGGGGGAGACAAGAGAGGTCTGCTGTGCCATGTGGATTACCTCCTTGGCCAGGGATCGAACTCATGGTACAGTGGCTAGCAATGGCTTCATAATGCTATGCTTTAACCTCTGTGCCATCAGGGAGGGCCCCTCTTTCTTTCCTTAAAATATTGAAATCACACAACAGAGATACAGGCTGCCTTTCCTTTCAGCCCACAGAAAATCTCAACGTTATTGCCCCCACTGGTCAGGCAGTGTCTTCACCAGAACGCCTGAGGCGGGCCAGGTAGGGAGAAGAAGGGGAGGAGGCTGGAGAGGAGGAAGGAAGCAGTCATACAGCAACAAGATGGATGACCTAGGTGACATGGATAAAATCTTAGACACAACTTATTAGAATGGAAGCATGAGCAAGTAGAAACACTTCATCAGACCTCTAACTAGTAAGGAAAACAAATCAGTAAGAAAAAACATCTTCCAACAAAGAAAAACCCAGATGGCTTCATTGATAAATTCTACCAAACATTTGAAAAATTAGCATCAATCCTCCTAAATGCTTCCAAAAAACTGAGAAAGAGGAAACACTTCCAAAATCAATCTGTGCGCCCAACATTACCCTGATACCAAAGTCCAATCAACATTGATGCAAAAATCCTCAACAGAATATTAGCAAATGAATGTAAAAGCACATTCAATGGATTATGTTCTGTGAACAAGTGAGATCTATTCCTTAAAGAATAGAATGCAAGAATGGGTCAACGTACAATAATTGACCAATGTGAAATACCATATTAACAGAATGAAGAACAATAGTCACAGGTTCATCTTAATTAATGCAGAAAAAGCATTTGACAAGATTCCATGATAAAAACACAACAACCCACAGGAATAGGACACTATGTCAACATAAAGAAGTCTGCATGTGAAAAGCCCACAGTGAACATCATACTCAATACTAAAATACTGACAGTTTTTCCTATAAAATCAGGAACAAGACAAGGGTGCCTAGGTCTCCCTGGTGGCACAGGGATTAAGTCTCAGCACTATCAAGCTATGGCCCATCACTGCAGCCTGAGTTTGATCCCCTGGACAGTGAGGTGACCCACATGCGCAGCAGACCTCTCCTGACCTCCCCTCTGCTCCCCTCAGCAGTGTACTTTGTGGATCTGCCTGTTCTGCTCCCCACTCTGTCTCTGGTGAAGCCTCTCACCACCCCTGCCCCTCTGACCTGTTACCCCAATTCTGTATACATAAATAAATAAAATCTTTAAAAAAAAGATAAGGATGCCCACATTTACCAACAGATGTCAACCTAGTATTATAGCAAGAAAAAGTAATAAAATTAACCAGCACTAAAAAGGAAGAAATAATCTTATTTCTGTTTGCAGATGGTAAGACCTAACATATAAATAAAACCCTCAAATTCTGCAAAATAGTGGGAATTAATAAATGGATTAGCAAAGCTGCAAGATATAAAGAATATCAACACTGAGAGGTATTCTGAAAGAGAGTAAGAAGTAAATCTATTCACAATAACATCAAAAACTTAAACTTAATCAATGGGGTGAAATAATTACATGCTGAAAACTACACTTTTTTTCTGAAAGAATTTAAAACAAACACAAATAAATGGAAAGATATCTTATGTTCATGAATTGGCTGACAATGTTGTTAATGTGTCAATACCTACAGATTTAATGCACTCTCCCAAAATTCCAATGGCAGAAATATTTTAACATTTACTTTAAAATGTTGATTTAATATTACATGCATAAATTAAAAAAATCCTAAAATTCATATGAAAATTCAAGGGACCTTGGAATAGCCAAAACAATCTTGAAAACCAACATTGAAGAGTGTCACAATTTTTGATTTCAAAATTTACTACAAAGCTATAGTCTCTGGTCTAGAGGCAGATATGTGGGACCACAAATAAATTATCACATCAAAGGATAAGGGTACCCAGATAGTTGCATGGGAAAAGAATAGCTGTTCCATAAGTGGTGCAGAGAAAACTTGATATCCACATGCAAAAGAATGAACTGGATCCTTAACTTACAGCACATACAAAAATGAACACAATGAATGATCTAAATGTATTCAGCCTCAAAAGGGGAGGAACTTCTGCTATACACTACAACTTTAATGCATTTTGAAGCATTTATGCTAAGGGAAAGAGCCATTTACAAAAAATATACATACAGTATGATTCCACTTATAAGAGGTACCCAGAACAGTCAAATTGAACAAAACAGAAAGCAGAATGATGGTGGCCAGGAATCGGGTCAGGGAAGGGATTGTCATATAATGGGTATAAAAGCTTCAGTTTTGTTAGATGAAGAATTTTGGCATTTGCATGTCCCACAACAGTACTTAACACTATTGCACTGAACACTTAGGAATTGTCAAGATAAATTTTATGTTGTATGTTTTTTAATACAATCAAAACATTCTAGATTAAAAATTGATTAGTACAGCAAATCTTTTGTCTTTCACACAATTAAAACAACAAAATAAAACCAACAACACCAACCTGATATAAACCTACAGGAACTCTCATTCACTGCTGGGAGGAATGCAAAACAGGTTACGCTTTGCAGTTTGGAAAGACAGTCTGGCAATTTACTGTAAAACTAGCCATACTCTCGCCATGTGATCCAGATCTCAAGTAGATAAAAGTTTTTGTTTCATGGAAGAGAGATATTTATAATAGCCAAAAGTTAAAGGCAACCATGATGTCCTTCAGTAGTTGAATGGACAAACTGCTGTATTCAGAAAATGTTGATTATTCAGTTCTAAGACGAAATGAGCCATCAAGCCATGAAAGGGCAGGGAGAACACCTTAAGTGGGTACAACTAAGTGAAAGAAACCAATCTGGCAGGTGCCATGTGATGAAATCACATGTTATCAATAATCTGAAGTTCTGAAAACTATGGTCACACTGAAAAGCATCAGTTGTTGCCAGAAGCTAGGGGAGAGGAAGAGCCGAGCGTACAGGATTTTTAGGACAGAGCAGCTATTCTGTATGATAATGGATTGATAGATACATGTCATCAAATTTTTGTCCAAAATCACAGAACGTACAACACCAAGAGTGAAGCCTAAGGTAAACTGTGGTCTTTGAGGGATAATGATGCCTCGGTTAAGAATATTATATGTACAGGAACAGGGTATTAATTCCAGGACAGGCTGGGCATTTGGGCTTGGGGAGAAGGGTGTATGTGGGAATTCCCTGTATTTTCCCTCAGGTTTTTCAATAAATTGTTTTAAAAAACAAAATCTACTAAAATTATCTAGCATAAAGTTAGCCATATCAACATGTATAATTCAGCAGTAGACTCAGTGCTGAGCTGCTACCACCTTTAGCCGTTCTAAGTTGTCACCACCCAAGGGTGGTGAAACTAGCACTCACTTCACTTGCCATCATCCCTCCTTGGTTCCTGACAATGACAAATCTAATTTCTGTATGTATGGATGTCTAATCTGGACACTTCATTTAAATGGAATTATGCAGGGCCCTCCCTGATGGCCCAGCGGGTTGGAGCACAGCACTGTGAAGGTGGCTGTGGCCGCTTTAGTGCAAGTTCCAGCCTTGGCCCTGGAGGTGACCCACATGGTGCAGCAGACCTCTCCTCTCTCTCCTGCTGCTCTCCTCAGCTGTTCTCCTCTTGTACTTCATCGTCCATCTGCCTGGTCTGTTCCCACTCTGTCGCTGGTGAATTCTCTCACTGCCCCTGCACCTCTAATGTCTGCACCCCAGTTCTGTATGCATAAATAAATAAATCTTTTTAAAAAATGGAATCATATATATGGCCTTTTGTCGTTGAGGAGTTTTTTAAAAGATTCACTCATGTTGTAATCATCAGCACTTCATTCCTTTTAAGACTGAATAATATTCCACTATATGTATAAGCCACACTTTGTTTATCCATTTGTCTGTTAACAGACACACTATTTATTTCTACCTCTTGGCTATTATGATAGCGCTCCTAGGAACTTGCAAATAGAAGTCTTTGTTTGAATACTTATAATGGATTATTTCCTTCCATGCCCTTAGATTAGTGAAAACCAAGAAAAGTCAAGGAAGAGACTAGAAATAAAACTAGCATTTAAATATCAAGTCAGTATTTAAGGTCTTGATTACTAATACCTACCGTTTAAGGTTTAACTTACTGAAAAAATTTAATATAGGGTATACATTTAATATATTTAATAATATTTAAATTAAGAAGCACCTATATTTATCATACTTTATATCATTTATAATTCTGAAGTAGACATTATCACCTATTTTATAGATCAGGAAAGCAAGTCTCCAAGGGTTAAATAATTTGTCCTTGGTCATCCACACAGTGACTGTCAGTCAGCACAAGACCCCAAGTTCTTCTGACCCCGTACTTTCATTCAACTACTGCAATCATCCAACTGGCAGTTGAAGTGAGACAGTAGGTAAGAGGCATACAATCTGATAAGTAACTTTCACCAGGCTCTAACTGTGGTGTTACCATCTTGCAAAAACTAGTGGTATGAAAATGCTGGCTATATCCACAAGCCCAGAGAGAAAAGGAGTGGGGGTGATGGAGATTTGGGGGTGTCTAGACTGCTTGTGAGCATCATTTGGGACTCTTTCCCTAGGCTGATTGTCTGGTCTGGCCCCTGCCTGGCTCAGAGACCTCGCCTGTCTTGTCCGCTGCTCTCCTCAACAGTGTGCTTAGTCACTCTGCCTGTTCTGCTTCCCACTCTGTCTCTAGTGAATCCTCTCATCCCCCACACCTCTGGCCTGTACCCCAGTTCTTGTATGCATAAATACAAATACATCTTTTTTTAAAAAAAGATAAGGATGCCCACTTTTACCAACTGATTTCAGCATAGTAATAAATGCAGAATAATACTCTGAATAATATAGGGAATAAGCTTTCCTGACCCAGTGGGACTGAACACAACCCACAGGCAAGAATGGATTAAAGTGGGCCACATACCTGGGGCTGGCTGCTCCGTGGCCAGGTCTCCTGCCTTCTCCTTGGAGAGTTCCTGCTGGCACTGGACTTGTTCTTCCCACTGCATTTGCAGCACATCACACACTCGGGGAAGAGCTCCTACCTGCAAGTTCAGAGCCAAGAATGTTCATCATTGCCACTTCATTTTACCACATCAGGATTTCCTGTGAGCAAGAATGGGGCTAAACAATGGGATTCAAAATAAGGACAGCGAAGTCACAGCCCTCAAGGAGCCCCTAGGGATTCCACAGCAAGGTGGAAGTTCAGTGTCTGAGGATAATTCAGAACGCAGCTGGGATGGCTGAAGCTTGTCCACTACAAATCTTGCTCTTAAGTTTACCAAGCCTCTCCAGTCCAAGGAGTTATTTGCTTTCTGGGCACCTTATTATTAGTCTACAGGAATTGATTTATTCTATCCCAATGGTATTTATTTTCAAGCGTTGGAAGTTTAGTTCAGAAGGGTCTTTAAAATCAACACGTAACCACGTCTCTATCCTGCAGCACTGACAAGAGGAGCAAGACAGGAAGGCAGAGTAAGTCCTGGCTCCCCATTTCTTCCTACAGATTTCTAGAGCATGGCTCTGTGCTTTCATATCTACCTGACACTAGACGAATATGTGAATGAATGAATGAACGAACGAATGAATGAATGAACGAATGCTGAACAGATCAGTGAATTGGACTGCTACTCTACTTTTACAGAGTATGAAATTTTAGTATTACAGTCTTTGCACTTAACTAACTTCATCATTTTTGAAATAACACTGTAATGAAAAAGAAGGAAACTGAGGCCCACGGTGGTTAGAGAATCAAGGCTGTATGCCCAGGCCTTCCAATTCCAGAAACCAACCTTCCAATAGTCAAGGACTTTATTATTTCGGTAATAATTGTATTCAAATGATTCCCAGAGTCTCCGACTCACCAATACTTTGTATTTCACCTGGGGCTACCAATCCTCACCAGCATCCCCCTTCCAGGGGGCCCCATCTGTAACCATCTTCGGCTTCACCTTCGGGTTACGTAAGTTGCTACAGAATCTTTTAATATAAAGCTTTTCTTCCATATCTCCTACTTTAGACTTTACCTCCCTTCAAATGCAGTCTGAAGTGTTCTCTCTATCCGCTGTTAGCAACTGCTCTCTCCCACCCATCCCTGACACCTATGAAACACACACATCACCTCCCCTGACCTGCGATCAGTCTGTTGACTAAGTATCTGCATATGTGTCCAGCTTTGAAGATGATTATCATGCTCATTCCTTCTTTGTCCCATACCCTTAAGCTGTCATCTCATTTCTGACATCTATAGCAAATGCCTTTATCACACATTGGATTACTTAAAGTCTTACATTGACACAAGTGATTTCCTAAGAGTATAGATTGTTAAGAGAATGGGCACTGGCACACAGCCCAACATACTAATGCCCTTGTCCTCTTCTCAGGTTCTTGCCTGGTCTTCGCTGAGGCCTGCGATCTCCAGCTCCCTCTGGCTCTTCAGTGGAGGCAGTGGGAGAGCTAGAGCAGAAAAGTTCACAAGTTGGCAGTAAGTTGACACAGCCTTCAGTTCTCTAAGTAGGCACACATTCTGGTCAGGACCACTTTGAAACGAACATGACTCTTCAACAGCAAGAAACTTCTAAAGGTCTTGTGAACAGGTGCAGTCTCTTCAGCAATTTAAGTTATATGTTGCCACAAAAATATTCATACCCTTGAGCCAACTGACCCCGCTTCCAGGAACCACCCCATGTGGAAGAAAAGCTTTATATTAAAAGATTCTGTAGCAACTTACATAATCCGAAGGTGAAGCCAAAGATGGTTACAGATGGGGCCCTCTGGGAGGGGGATGCTAGTGAGGATTGGTAGCCCCAGGTGAAATACAAAGAATTGGTGGGGTTGGAAACTCTGATAAGAAATATAAGGGCTGCAGAAGTAGCCACTGGGATTCAGCATATAGAATTTCAGAGTTTCTGGATCTTCAGCAATTCCAGGGTCAGCCAAATCTGCCCCCATCATGCCAGTCTTTCAGAAGTCTATTGTGGGCTTCTGAAGGACACGGAGAGGCTTCCAGCCACCAGCCTCAGAGAAGAAAAGTTTGGAAGCTTTGCACACATCTGGGCCACTAAAAGTGTTCCCAGCTTTGCCGTTGGTATAGCCTGTCAGGGAAGGACCTGGAGACAGGTGCCTCACTGAGCTGCGTGAGTGTGGCCATTTGTTAGTTTCTTTGGCTGTGGCAGGTGCTGCTTTGAGGGTCAATTGTCTGTTGCTATGTAGGCACATCTTGGCAGCTCCAATGAGCATCTCCTGCTGTGTCTTCTGTGTCTCTGTGACTTGGATCCCAGCTTATAGTCTGGTTGCCATATGCACCAGGCCCTCTCTGGCGGGAAGACACTATCTTGAGAGTGGAGTGTTTGTGTTTAGGACTTTAAAACACTGGACACTGCTTAGGGTGAGGTAAGCAGCCATTTGTGACCTCAGTGACTCTGTTTCCCCTGGTTTGTTAAATAAATTCCATTAGTGTTGTTCTCTGAACCTGAGTGGTCTTGCAATTGTATATGACAGTGAAGAACTCAGACAGTGATTATTCAATAATCTGGGCACTGTGGTTGGTCAGTTTTAATGCTTCTTGCCACGCTGTATCACTTATATTTAATAGAGAAAATAAAACAGATGAACTTCTGATTTCAGGACTGTGGAGATGTAATTTTCTCTATTACTCCCACTGATGACAACGGAACTTTTAGACCATACACATAAAACAAGCGTACTCTGAAAGGTGGAAGGACGGTACAGTGACACTATGACCTGCGATCCAGATGTGTTTACTGAGTACCGTCTTCACCAACGAGGCACATGGGTTCCAACGTCTGCACATCCACATCAATCCTTGTTTTCCAGTTTTGCTTTAACAATAGCCACCCCGTGGATAGGAATGTTACAGGGTAGCCCAGAGTGAGCTGGGCTGCCTGTCTGGGGGTCCTTACCCGTACGCTTAAAGACATCCTTCCCTTAACAGGAAGAGGATCATCCCACATTTCTTTAAAGCATAGAGACCAAGACAATTGTACAAAAGTGTACAATCCGCTGATGCCTGTGTGGCAGCAGCAGTGTTTTACTGTGAGACCGTGAGCAGCACTGAGGGTGTGAGGCCCCAAGGGTTCCCGGGAGTGGCAGGGAAGACTGCAATCAGCGGAGCAACAGGCTGGGAGAGAGATGCCCTGGAGGGAGAATGGATGTGCAGTGAGGATCCCGACCACAATCAACCTGTCATCCAGTAGACACCAACGAGTACCAGTGGCTATATATTGATGAAATTTAAAGGTATTAAATATTATTTTACTTACAATTGACCAGAGAGACAAGAGGAGATGAGGTTGCTGATTAGTCCTTTAAATGCTACCTTTAAATAGTTTAAAAACAAACATCGCTTTTGATTCAGTACATATTTGTCTTTTATATGCAGTTGTACCAGAGCTGACACAGGAAAATAGGAGTTTCCTCCCTTAGCATTTACCTGCTTTCCAGAGGAATCACTTTTAATTCATTTTTATCTCCATATTTTAAAATTGTATTTCCACATGGCTATTCCTTGATTTACTAGCGTCATTACCCAATACTCTGTTGTGGAATACTTAATTGTTTTAAAACCTCCTTACGTATACTCCTCTGTAGATTACACATATTTCTTTTATATAATTTTTGTTAACTGAAAGGTCTGTATCATAAAATGACGTCTTTTGACTTTGAAATATTGTTCGGTGCTTAGTCTGGCCATGTAAGATGATTATGTCTCTTCTTGGACATTTTGTTTTTCCTGAGGTCGATAATTACTTTGCTTTTTCATTTGATTAATTTTCTATGTACATATGGCTAATTTTTTCAAGAACTACCCAGATCTGCTAGACTTCTATCAACAGGTCTGTTTGTTTTACCTCTGGAGGCCCTCTTCTCGCAGTGTGCTCTGTCTCTCTGTCTCTCTCTCCCTGGGCTGTGGTTTCAGGTATCCATCCTCTCCCTCCCCACCACACTAAGGAGGTTCATTTTCCAGATTCTAGGTATATTTTCCTTGCTTTACTTCCTTGTTTTGCACAAATATGTTCTCAACTAATATTTCTCCAGAAAGTATACATAGGAAATAATTTTGTTGAGGGTGGAGCTGAGCAGAGAAAAGAAAGAGAAGAGAAGGGATCTGAGGAAGAAGGAAGCAGGATTAGAGCCAGAAGGAGACCTGAGGAAGCCACATGGAGCAGCAAGCATGTGATGAAGACAGCATGCTTGTTTTTTGGCCCTGGACTGGTTGAAAGCCAGTGGGTGAGAGACCCGTGGGGAGGTTGACTATGGCAGTGTTTATATTGATTTTGATTTTGCTCTTTTCCTCCCAGATTTGTCTGGCCATTTCTGACCCTTTTCCATGGTTCCTGGCCAGAAGGTGCTTTCAGGCTTTCAGGCCTTGCTTTGGGCCAATCCCTTTTGGGTTGACTTTTGCCCACGAGGGGATGGGTAACTTCAGATGTTTGATTTAGAAATTATATTCTTTGTCTTCCATATTGTATATATTGTATACTCAGTGTATTAAAGTTCTTTTTCATTGAAGTCTTACATGTTGATGCGATGGATGGCAGAACCTATTTAGAGCAGGCAGGTTTGGGGGTTCATTGGTGCCTCTCTCCCTGCTCTGTAACACTTGTTTTGCAGAAATATGTTCTCAACTAATATTTCTCCAGAAAGTGTACATAGTAAATAATTTTTTTACTCTTTGTAAGGGCAAAAAAGCTTTTATTAATTTGATTGATAATTTAGGTAGTGAATTCAAGGTAAGAAATCTGAATTTGGGATTTTTCTTTTTCTCTTCCTATACTGTTGATAAGAAATTCAATTCTGGTTCCAAATCTTTTGCATATGTCTTTGCTTGTTTCCTCTTTAGAAATATCAAGGCATTTTGTTTGCTGTTTGAAATTTTTAAATTCTTTAAGCAAATGATCTCTTTTTTAGTCACTAGTTAGATATTCAATGGGCATTGTTTTTGAACAATTAGGTTATTTTATTAAACTCAAAAGTACAATTTTTATATTTTTTGACATAGTCACCAAATTTTAT